TTTATAGTAAAAATATTGTTATAATAGTAGTTTAATTATTTTATATAATATATTATAATATATTATTTATTTAAAATCTAAAAAAAATATGGGTCTTTAGTGCGCCACATTGTTGACACGGGCGAGGACCAATCGCGCCTCGTCCAATCACGTCCTATGCGCATCAGCAGTCGATTGCAGTCGATTGCAGTCGATCGGTAAACAGCCGGGAGCGATGCACGCTCGCGTGATTTGACGTATTTGACAAGTTTTAGAGCGCGGATCTCGGGAGGACCCACTGCATGCGGAACGTTGATCGTGATATCCTTTCCTCTAGGGAATAGTATCCTTTTTTTTTTATATTCTCACCACACCATGGACACGGACAGGCCTTTACATGAGGAGTGGAAAAAACGGGTATGTAGGCTGGGTTCGCTCGTCGGACGCGATAATAATCGGAGAAGCCTTACGAATATTCCGTAATCCCGTTTGTTGGGGACACCTGGATGAATCGAATGAGTCCGCATGTTTTTCTGCGCGGCAAACGCGGCGGAGAATGCATCTCGGGCATGTTGATGGCTTCTCAATATCTAATTGACACGTTTAATAATTCTGCAACGTTGCTATGAGTCATTCAATGAGGAGTTTATCTCTTTCTTAAATCGAGATCTTTCTCATTTAAATTGTACAGTAATGCTTTTCACTACATGCTATATTTACTATTGTCAAATTATTAAATCCAAATTTGATGTAATCAGGCGTTTGTGGGACCACTGCCGGACAGTTTTCTGAGAATAGAAGAACGCAACGCGCAGTTGCAGCAGGAGGCGGCGGATCAACAAGCCGCTCTGGCTCTCCAACAGCAGATGCAAAGTATGCCGGTGACTCACGATCCTCGAGTGGGTAGACTTAGCATAACAATCTCTCAGGTAATTGTTTTTCCATAAGCGTGACGTATCCAGCGTTGTTCGAGTCAAATGAACCAACGACCCGACAATTTGCACTTTCTCGCGCTACAACAGGCTGTCCTTTTCCAGGCCAAATTAGTGAAAAATTATGGAATGACGAGGATGGACCCTTACGCGAGGATACGAGTGGGACACTCGGTGTTTGAGACGCATACAGACTCTAACGGTGGAAAAAATCCACATTGGAATAAAGTAATTCAATGGTGAGAATTCATATCTTGTTGAGATAAGTAGGCAGATACGTAGGCACAGGTGTTATTATGACACATTTATTATTGCAGCAACCTTCCACCTGGAGTTACCCAGATATACATAGAAATTTATGACGAGTGTTCCTTTGTGATGGACGAACTGATTGCGTGGGGCCACATAGAGATTCCACCGCAGGTTATTCAGAAGGGAGAGACCCACGAGGATTGGTACATGCTCAGTGGGAAGCAGGGAGATAATCAGGAGGGCATGATCAATTTAGTTTTCAGTTACACGGTAAAAACAAAGATTGCGCTATTTTCTTCTATGTTATATTTATATCGTTAATTTACAATATTTATAATATCTCAAGAAAGCAGACTATTGTGAACTAAATAGCCATGAAATTCAGGATACAATTGCGCACATTAATATTTTCTTCAAGTATTACGTTCGAGTTTTATCTTTTCTTTTTCACATTGGAATGTGTTTGCAATAGACCAAGTATCATCCGTACACGGGTTCTTCTTCGATAATGATGGTCCCTTCTGCAACAATGTTCGGCACGTCATACGCCCCGGTAAATGTTTATGCGACACCTCCGCCTATTGCTGCACCAGCGGTCGCACCCAGCTCTTTGCCAAATGCTGAGGTCGAGTTGAAACAGGTACTTAATATATATCCCGTCTACGATTCTAGTCCGACGTTCTTTTTGTTATGTACACGTAACTGTTATGCTGTATACTTTTTGCAGATCGCCGAAATGTTTCCAAATGTTGACAAGGAAGTTATCAAATCAGTATATGATGCCAATCACGGCAAGAAAGACATTACAATTAATTCGTTGCTTCAGATGTGCGAATAAGTCCTAATTTTCTACGCAGCTAGAATGCCATACGTAACTTTATCGCATCCTTCGTTAATGAACTTTTTTTTTCTTTGGAATGTAAGATGATGTACGAAAATCTAATTTGTAATACTTCCATACGTAATAATATACATTAAGGTCGAACATTCTTTGAATATGTAAAATGACGAAATATTTCTCTTCTGAAGAAAACATATTACATTTTAATTGAGTATAACATTGAATTATTCTTACAATTAGTCAATTTTGTTATATGTTATTGTTATTTCAGAGTTTATATTATCTTTTTCTCTCATATTTCCATATATATGAGTGTTTATTTATTCAATTGCGTTATATATTACATGATTTACTGGTCTCTATATATAATTTAAATACATATTGCGCGTTCTACAAAATTGTAAAAAGATATACGCTTGATTAATAGTTGCACACATACATTGTAATAAATATCAAATATATATAATTTGTACAATTATTCATATCGAAGAAATAGAATAAGCCGAAAGTGTCAGGGAATTACGAAAATTTTATACATGAACAGCGAAACGACTGTAGCTACAGAAATAATTAACAGTGAATGTGTATTTCTTACTGTTGAGTTGCAGGGCATAGAGTTGTTTTTAGATTTACAGGCACACACTTCGATATTATATCCTTCAGTCTAGAAGTATATTCAAAAAATATTATAATTATATATGTTTGTTTATTAAGTGCTAAGATATAATCATACAATCGTAAAGAAACATACGAATTACAAATCGCTTATGATACATACGTATTGAACGTAACAGCCTGATGTAACCGGCAATACTTCTGTGACTTTCCCACGAAAATAACTGACATTTATAACTACAAATATAATATTTACATTTATTTATATCCGCTAAATCCTATAAATGCTCCGACTACAAAATCTGAGTCAATTTCATTTTGTTACTGTAGAATATATTTACCTGCGCCATTGTACATGTATGTAAACTTTACACAAACGCTACCATCATCCATCTGTTTCATGCGATCTTCTTTAATTTCATTATTTTTCCACATATCAGTTAAATTTGGCTTCGTAGTCTCTGGAAAATATTATGAAGGAATACCGCTTAAACAGAATTGAATTTATAACTGAGAACGAACATGAACGTTGCACACTTACGAAAAAGCAATGGTTTTATACACGGAGTGTGTTTAAATGGTTTATCACCATCATCATCATCATCATCAGGGTCACCGCAGTCTATCTCATTTTCTGAAATTGATGGCCCTGGCCATGTGAAATGAAAGCAATGTGGCCCTTCGATACCTGTCGCTATATACAAAAATAATAGGGTCTAATTAAGAACAAAAAGATTATAAACAATTGATAAATTGTGAAGCGTCGAACGAAAGCAACCGAATATAAATTAAATAAGGAACTGTATTAAGTAGTTCTGCATCATTTCTTTGTATATATTAAGTCTCATAGAATTTTTAACACACAATATATATATATATCGCGTTATATAACACACACAATATATATATCGCGTTTTAGCTCGAAAAATTATCTTTCTGACTAAGTTTATAAGTCAAATTTATCCCCCGTATTTTTATATATAATTTATATGTCTAATGTGTATGTAATTATATATATACACACAACACTTATATGAATACGAATTGTCTCAATGCTCTACATTGCATGTGCATATGTACGCGGATAGGTGTTTCCCGCGATCTATTCTCATATCGGTTGAATATCGAACGAAATGCTGGCGGTGGCTTAATGTTTTCTGACCGGCTGCTCCAACGAGCGAGTCTTAAACGAAAATGTATCGCTAATATCGACGGCCTGTTATTTGGTATACTTATATTCTTACGATATTTATACGGTATTATCGAGGCACATAATGTTATAAAAAGAAATAAATATACTTACCTAAAAACACGTACGTGAAAACCGTTAACAATACAGCCAAGTAAATCCCTTTCATTTTTGCATGTTTGAGAGCTGACTCGCGCGACGATATTTTAGATATTACTCACGTTGCTGCGAGATTAGAAGCTTATCTGATAAAATCGATCACAATCGTATAATGACAGTGTCTTTTATATATAGGGCAATCGTTATCAACATACAGCGTGATTGTATAAAGGAACATAACGGTATAAAAATTAATTAATCGCATTGATTTAACTGGTTACATGAAAAAAAATCAGTCGTTTTGTTAAGTTTTGCTTTTTGTGAATTATACGCGCTATTTGTGTACTCCTGTCTTGGACGTTTTTGGTTATTAATACTCTTTACATTTTGCCTCGAACGGATTTAGTCTGAATTGACTCGCTGCGACCGCGTTCTATTTATATACTATACCGATTAAGAAGGGTTATTTCGCAAAATATCGGAATAAAATAATGGAGAGTCAGTACAATGACAATATAAAAAATTTATTGTAACAACAGCTAATCGAGCTTCACAATTTTTGGCAGTTATAGCATTTCATGCATTCCTTCTATCTACTGTATCAATTATGTGAATACCCACTGATATATAACACATCTATTTATTAAGGCAAGTAGATAAATATTCTTCTTCGTAGATAAACTATAAATCTTAAGTAGCTTTAAGTATTATAAGTAATTTGTTCGTTAGTAATTTCTTTTTCTTATGAGATTGCACCTCGTTAAAACTCATCGTGCCTCGCTAACGCCTCTCCGAAGTCCGTCGCCTGAGATCCGACGAAGATGTCGTATTTCTCCAAAATCTCGTTCTTCGTCAGCTTGTGATCCGCATCGGTGTCCGCTTCGTAAATCAAGTGCCTCGACTCCGCCTCGGCGTGATCAAATTCCGCGGGAATAATCCACGTTTTTACCTGTTTCAAATTGGAACAGATCAGTTTAATTGCACCGAGTAGTTCTTGTAGTTCTTCGGTATATATCTTTAGTACATACACATTTTTATTTCGTACCGACGAATGATACAAGAAGTTATCAATTACCTCGTCAGCGTTCAAAAATCCATCCCCATCTTTATCTCTGTACGAGGAGAATTGTTCCTTTTCGTTCTTCACCCATTCCGGCTCCTCTTCACCTTCCTCGCCCCTGTACAGGTCGCCTGTGAATAAATCAAACATTGAAGAACTGCTCATTGAACTGCCTTTTAGAGTGACAAAAAATAGATGATTCCCGGTTACCAATGTATTCCGCGAGAGATATCTTCCCATCTTCATCCTTATCGATATCCTCCATCGTTTCCAGCACTATCACGTCCTTCATGTGCTCCGCGTCTTCCGCGTGAAGAAAGGCGGTGAATTCCTCTTTGGTCAGAGAGTCATCGCCGTCCAGATCCGCGGTGGTCCACCTTCTGCGATCCCTCTTATACATCTGAGCGTACGAGAACGAGTCGTCCGCTTTGTCGCTCTCCTGCTCCTCCATGTCGCCGTAAACCATGTCCTTGTATTCCGTCCAAGACAGTTTCTCCTTTCCCATTGGATTGTGGGATCTCCACTGACGCTCCACGTCGTCCTTGATGTAACGTTGCTGCGTGTACATTATCCAATCTTTAAGCTCCTCCTGCGTCACGTAGCCGTCGCTATCCTTGTCTATCTTGTCAACAATTATCCCTAGCCGCCTTGTGCTCTCCTCGGGTGTAAGCTGATCGAACGTCTTGGCCTCTTCCCCGAGAAAGGCTTCATGATCGTAGGCCGGATTATGTTGGGAATGGACATAGTGATCTTTGCTGCTTGCATCCTAGAACATAATACACATTAATTGTAATGACTCTTCAAATTGCTATATTTTCTCTTATTTCCTACAACTTTAACTATGATAAAAGCGGTGCAAATTTCACAAATTCACTTTTCTGTCATTAAAAAAATTTTTTTTTTTTTCACTGACAGGACTAAACTTTTATTTAATCAATTACGGAATTATAGAATAATAGAATATAGATGGACAATAATTAAAAGAGCTCTCGGTTTCTCTAACCTTGTTCAAAACACGATGCTCGCCGTCCGGGATCGCCTGCTTCGGGATCGCCGTCGCCAGGATGGAGGAACCGATCAGGATCTGGAGGAACATGAGCGCTAGCATTCCACCGTGGTGGCACCGTGGGGCGAAGAAAAAAAAAGGAGAGGGAACGAGAAAGAGAGGAAAAGGGAAGAGATCGTCGACCGATGAATTTACGAAGCGTCTTTCACGCACTGGAATGGAGGAACGACAGATGACTAGATGAGGTCTCCTCCTTCCACGGCCTTTCGCGGCTCTTCCACATCAGCAAAGAGCGGAGTCAGCGGAGAGACCATATGCGGCGCACCCCCACTTCCCAATTCCGCGCCTTGTTCATGGGACGACGCCGCCCGGCCGCCCGCCGCCGACGAGATGCGCGATGCGTTCCCCCGGCCCCCCGCGGACGAGGAACGCACGCCGGACGCACGGCGGCCGGCGTTTGCTCCCACCCCGAGAAACGAATCCGCAGCCTCCACGTGGACCGGAGATAATGCGATAACGGATGAAATTCTATTACGGGAGCCTGGCGCTCATTAAACGAAAGGCGTTCCTTCTCTTTCTTATTTTAGATCTCTCAATCTTGGGATGCGTTCTTTAAATTTGGCTTGCAAAGCATATATCTCGCCGCTGGATTTGTGCCTTGATCGAATTCAGATTGACTTCATCGATTAATTCGATCGGCAGAATTGTCCATGGTAAAATTTATAAATTGTACAATTCGTTCGGTTAGGTTTCGCTCTCCCTTCTCGCGTGTCAGACGACAAAGATAAAATACTGCTAATATTAGGGATGTTACTCGATAAGTCAATCAAGTCAAAACAGATATTATAAAAATTTATATGTGATAATTTGAGTCTGTTACAATATCCGAGGAGTAAGCGACTTAAGCAGGAGCTAAGATTGGAAAACTGCGAGATTATTCTGGGAATTAAATCTCATTCTGGGTGGCACTGCAGACTTCTTTAAAATAGACTTTTATTCGAAACGACAGTCTGTGCTACAGCCGAATGTCTGTATTCTCACCTCTCCTTTTCAATTTATTCTACTGTAGATCTCCGTCGTCTTCAAAGTACCATGCCTTACAGTTATGTTTGTATTGTGCATTTATTGAGGCCAAACAATTCGTTCTTATCGCGATGCTTCGATGGCACGTACGTAGAACGTTACTTTACATTGCCACGCAGCGAATACAAGTAATATAAAGAAGCGATACTTTTGAAAAACCGAAATATAGGAGTTTACCATATAGACATTCAACTACAACTCGAGGTGAATCAACGCAACTTTAACTTCCAACCAGTCCATATCTGACTTTCCGGCGTTGCCGAAGCAATTTATGCGACAGCCTAAAAACTACCGGAAAAATTGTCGGTGACACCAATCACAGATGTTAACACTTAAACAGCTAAGCTGAAAAGACAATTCTCGGCGTTGTCGATTCATTATTCGTATGTTCACATTGAACCCTCCATTCTAGTGTTTTTCCGCTTCTTGGAAATTCCAGTCCTTCTAAATTCACTCCTCTCGTCCAGATACTGTTCCGTGCATTCTTTAATAAAGTCCTGATTGTAGTACCACTTCTCCATGCACGCCTTCATCCTGTCGTTTTCCCCCCTACATTTTACAACGTGCAGCAGGCCGGATTTGAGGCAGCAGTCGTGGAAGTCTGTGGAAGAGAGGATCACGTTAGCTACATTCCACTCCTCATGAATCAACTGACAACTGGGGTGATTGTAATACCGGTAATACCTTTGACTTCGTTGACGCACTTTTCAGATTTGGTTCTCTCTCGCATCAACTTGGGTACCAGCACGTCTTTCTCCACCTTCCTTAAACTTCTGTCGTTGGGGTCGCCTGAAATAAATACACGAGATACTCGGATTCTCTCTCTCTCTCTCTCTCTCTCTCTCTTAGAGAAACCTGATCGCGAAACCTCAGCGAACACGCGATCGCTGAACGAGCAACACGGAACGTAGACTCCAATAATCAGCCGGTCGCGCTCGACTCCGCCGGGATTAAAAAATATAACCTCTACTATCGACAATATCCTCGGTACTCTGGGCCAGCGACAAAAATTGACGCTACCGTGCGCGGGAAATGCGGAAATAGAAAGTTTACCCAGTCCTTTCGGCCCCCCGCCGAGTTTATGCGAGAGCACCGAGAAATCCTCCTTCATGTTTTCGTTGCTTTCGGAGCAGACGCAAACGTATTTTGGTTTTTGCACAGTATTCGGGTATTGCAACACGAAGATACGAAGGATTCTTCCCACTACTTAACTATCACACGTGCGTCGGACCACGTGATTATCATGACAGACTCGTGCCTTGAACAGATGGAACACTTTCGTTTATGTTTATAAAAAATGTCTTTTATAATCTGCATTGACATAAAATGTGGATAAATATAAATATATATATATGTAGGTATAGGTAATCTACATTTTAAGAGGAGTTTTGAAGAATAAGAATCGACATATGTATTTCCCGACGGCAATAAGATGTAAAACGTGCAAACTACAATTTCATCATATTTTATTGGATATAAAAAATGGTTATATTACGTTACGTATCTTTATTTTATATTTGACATTATTTTTTACATTATATATTGTATGTTATATACAATAACATATTCAAACGGAAATAGAGAGTCAAGGGAATTTATGAATATTTATTCATATTCATTAGTATAAAATACTTATTCATATTCATATAGTAGAGATGATTCATGTGTTCTTCCACCATGCAACCAGCCAACCAGCAGGCTGCGCTCGTGATTGTGCACATTTTGAGGCTTGTCAGCGGTGACTCCGAGGGAGGAACGTTCACTCGGTCTATCGCGTATCGCGACAACGAGGAAATTCTCTCGCGAGGACGAGTAACCGTAACGACAACTCGTACTCCGGTCCTAATAAGTGTCGCGCGACACTTTTGCACCGCGAATCGCCAAGGAATAACCCGAAATCCATGTAGCGTTCTTTTCCTAACCTCTAAACGTCCGTCTTGTACGAGAACGTCCCGTATCTCCGACGGTTTCACGCTATAATTGTCTCTCAAATATTTGCAGAGCGTAGAACTCGAGTAACGCAGTCAGGATGGACAGGCTGTTACGATTAGGCGGTGGGATGCCAGGCCTAAATCAGGGGCCACCACCTTCTGATGCTCCTGTTGTGGATACAGCGGAACAGGTATATGTCAAAATTTCCTCGTGCTTTTCTTCTCGTTGTCTCTTTCGTGTTGTCTTATTCTTTCCTCGTTTCTACAGGTGTATATATCGTCCTTGGCCCTCCTGAAAATGCTTAAGCACGGCCGTGCTGGAGTACCGATGGAAGTGATGGGTCTGATGCTGGGTGAATTTGTTGACGACTACACCGTTCGTGTTATCGATGTTTTCGCCATGCCGCAAACGGGAACGGTAAATGTTAAAATACAAGCGAGAAGATTGATAAAGTACATTTATACAATAACGTTTGTTTTCTTCTGTTTTCTCAGGGCGTCAGCGTAGAAGCGGTGGATCCAGTGTTCCAGGCAAAGATGTTGGACATGCTAAAACAGACCGGTCGACCGGAAATGGTAGTAGGCTGGTACCATTCTCATCCTGGATTCGGCTGCTGGCTATCCGGAGTGGATATCAATACTCAACAGTCCTTCGAGGCTCTTAGCGAAAGAGCGGTAGCCGTTGTCATCGATCCCATACAATCAGTGAAAGGAAAAGTTGTTATTGATGCATTTAGACTAATCAATCCGAACATGATGGTGAGTATATCTGGTAGCAATTGTACCCGCCGATTGTGACCTCATCGTACCGATTGCAGGTTTTGGGACAAGAACCGAGACAAACGACGTCGAATTTAGGCCACCTACAGAAACCATCCGTTCAAGCGTTGATACACGGATTGAATCGGCATTATTACAGTATTAGTATTAATTATCGCAAAAACGAACTGGAGCAGAAGATGCTGCTCAATCTACATAAGAAAACATGGATGGACGGTCTTACCCTTGCCGAATATTCGGAGCACAGTCGGCTCAATGAGAATATCGTTTCCGAGATGCTTGAACTCGCGAAGAATTATAACAAGGTGAAACATTGCGCGACAATTGAAAAACTTGATATGTACTATTTGTATGGTATATAGGCGCACTGGATATCTTGAATATTGTAATAATGACAGAGTTTTGTTTTTGTAGGCCTTGGAGGAGGAGGAAAAAATGACACCCGAACAATTAGCGATAAAAAATGTGGGCAAGCAAGATCCAAAACGGCATCTGGAAGAGAAGGTCGATACACTAATGGCTACAAATATTGTTCAGTGCTTGGGAGCTATGCTCGATACAGTTGTATTCAAATAACTGTTTTCTGATACGTCATTCGCAATATGGTATTTAAAGGAAATATACAGCTTTTTAAAATAGAAATATGAGATTTTGTATTCCCGATGTGCACGTAATCAAGTACAACACGATTTAATATGTGCGCGTTAGACGTCACGTTTTTCTTAGGGGGAGGGGGGAAATGTTATTTTTTACGAATTTGGTATAATTATCAAATTGAATATTAAACGTAAATTATGGCACGTGGATGTTCAACAAAAAATAAGGTACGCAATAGATATTGCTGATACCCGGAATGAATATAATACAGTAATAAAGATTGTACGAGAAATTGGGTTCGAGTCTACCTGATAATAGAAATTTTAATATTTCAAACTGCACTTTTTCTGTACGAGAAATAAAGAGGGGACTCTTGTGCAGAGCAACTGGGCAACTGCTATGTGTATCCCCCCCCCTCCCATAAAGTGATTAGTGGTCCTCCAAGGCTTGGGCGTTTAGGCTAACAACCTGCCACGTTAAAAATTATTGTTAAGAAACTTGAAGGAAACTTCATCAATATTACTGAAGTTCGAGGCCATGGCTCGATTTCAAACTTCAGTTTGATATTGATGATGATGATAGAGTTAGACACAGAATAGACATTTATAATCAATTTTTATTTCACATTTTTTGTTTCACTACATCAGCACTCGCGTCTTCTTCTCTTTCTTTTCTTGCCAATGGTTACGTTATTTTTTTCCGTCTACATTCTTGAAAATATAATAAATTATTATTGATACTCAGACATCTGTGTGCAATTATAATCTATATCAAATTATATACATGATTTATGTAGGTTCATATATCGTGGAGAAAAACCAAAATGCATATAAATAGGTATGCATGATTCCTTTACGATAAAAAAAATAAAAAAAATATATGTACAATAAATTCTTTCAACTTAATCTTAAGAAAAATCAGAATACAAATTAGAGAATACTAGTTTAGACTCTAAACTCTAAACTTTAGACTTGTACATTCGCATCTGAGAAGATTTATATGAAGAATAACGTAAGAGAAACATCAGAAACTGTAAAAGAAAGAATCTCGCAGATATTTTGTATTTGTTTATGTTCTCGGAATAAAACTGTTTATTGTATAATATACAAAATTGTCTTAATATAATCTAGAAATAATATAATTCAATAAAAAAATTCAATAAGTTTTTATAAATCTAACTCGAGGTAGGTTCTTGATCTTTGTCCTTCTTCTTCTTCTTCTTTTTCTTTTTCTCTTCTTTTCCTGCGGATTCCTATAACACGTAAATGCAATAATATATAATAATCTCTGATTGTACATCTAATTATTAGGACCAATTCAATTACCCCACTGACAGCTTCTTCCACTGCAGTGGCAGGTTCTTCCATTGCAGTGGCAGCTTCTTCGCCTTCCGTGTCATGTTTCTCCTTCTTTTTCTTTTTCTCTTTTTTCTTCTTTTTATCTTTCGGTGATGTTTCTGAATTATCCGCTGTTTTTTCTACTACCGTACTCGCGTCTTCTTCTCTTTTCCTTTTTTTGCCAATGGTTATGTCACCATTCTTTTCCGTCTACATTTATTGAAAATATAAATATAATCTTTCATATATATATATATAATATATTTATAAAAAATAAAATATTAGAAATGATATTAGAATAATCGACTTGCCGTTGTTGATGCTGTTGTTAATGCTGCTGCGGATGTCGTTGGTGATGCCGTTGTCGTTGACAATTCGGCATAGTCTTTGTAACCATGTAACCATTCAGCAGGTGTGTTTTCATTAGGTTTTCCATGTTTATCTAACATCCCTTCAACTATCATACGTTTCTTTTGCGATGCTTTGGGTCCCAAGCCCCACTTCCTCGGATACGAATCTCTCTCCATGATAACTCTTTTAAGTTTCGCAACTACTCCATGATCACAGGTAGCCATGGTTGAAGAAGACATCAAAGCTATGGCTGATATATATACATATATAAGATAAGTATTGTTTGAAGACTACAAGATAAAGTCAAATATTTTAAAGATAAATATAAAAATGATATTTTGGGCATTCAGTTAAATATCTTTGAGTAAATAATACGTGAAAAGCTAACAATTACGACACATATCTCACTGTTATTTCGAAAATATACTTACCAAGTGCCACGGCTTCGCCCTTAGTAGTCACTATTACAATTTCCTTATTACACTCTATGTCTTGGTCATACATCAAAACGCCCGGTAGCATTATTTTAGCTCCATAACAAATTGCATTCACCTAATAAATTCGATATAATACTGTTAAACAACAGTATTCAATTTCCTTTATTATCAGCGCAAAAAGCAACGAGTCAAATACATACGGCGCTGTCCTTTATGATGATTCTTTTGTGACCCACTAGCAAAGATTCCAGCGGCTTTATAACTCTTCTTAGATACGATTCGTCCCCGTGATTTTCATACATCCACTGGGCGTCGAGAATATCATGCATGGTAACCATACCATCCTTTTCGGCCTGAACGCCGGAACGACTTCTTCGAAGTTCTTGCATGTGACAACCGGTACCTAAGAAGAGCCCGAGATGGACACACATAGTTCTAATATAGGAGCCAGCTTCACAGCTAACGCGGAATACTCCCATATTGCGTTCCTGGTCGTAATCAAGGAACCAACTGTCGTAAACTGTCCTAACGCGGAGTTGTCTTTTGACCGCTGATATCAGCGGCGGCCTTTGAAATAGAGCACCGCGCAATTTTTCCAATGCTTGTTTCACCTAAATCATCGCATTAGTGTGGCATCAATATATGAAATACTGTATATAAGATTGACACACATAACGATGACACCACATTTGGATAACAAAGAATAAATAAATATCAACATTTTCGCCGAGAAGAATTTTATGCTTAATAAAAACTTTCGAGTTTTGCACATTTTGTACCTATGGGCGTAAAATAACTCAATGATAGAGTGATCACCTATCAAACGAAAGACTCGGATTCAATTCCCAGCCCTATAACTCAACTATGTAAATGTAATTATTATTAATTAATATTATACTATATTTATTTATATAAGTAGTTTATTCTATGTTATAACGATTTATTCAAATATTTATTTATTCTGTGTTACCCATAATTACGTATATTTACCTTCTGTATACTTTCCGGGGCGGAATGAAGCTTAAACACAGCAACGTATTCCTTCCCGGCGGACTGCTGGGACTTGGCCAGTCTCGTCGCCTTGTCTATGCAGACTATCAGGACCCCCGACACCTTGGGATCCAACGTGCCGGAGTGGCCGGTCTTCTCTACCTTCAGGATCTTCTTTATCCAAGCCACTACCTCGTGCGACGAGGGATTGCACGGCTTGTCCAAATTGATGCAACCTGACTTTATATACTCGGACAAGCTACGATGTAGCGGTGTAGAGCCGCTTGACAACGGGGTATAGTGATTCGTGCGTGTACACATCTTGTCAACATTCTGCAATAGACATAGTAAGGAATTTATCTCTCAATTTCATCAGTTATCAGCAATCACGTGTCGCAAACGCGTCTTGCGCAAAGATTTAAAATACCACCTTAAACAGCAATGGCCAGTTTTCACACTTGAGCTTCACCTCCATTTTGGAGGGTTCGATCTCGCACTTCGCTTCCAACTGCAGCTCGCCAATCGTCTTCTTCTTATCCTTCTTCTTACTTTTTTCTGCAAGAAATTTAGGAGATATAACCTAATTTGCTCCAACTTAACCTTTATTAAATAAATAAAGCAGGCTAAATTTCTCGGATTATATTCATCGAGGCGAGCGTAGCGAGCAACGTTGCTCGATTTATTCGTTTGCGCCGATAATTTAAACAGTACTATCATCGTAGGCGACCGACGCTGCGCCGGACACGTGTCCGTCATAAGATTGCTGCAAGACGGAGTTTGATAACAGAAACGACGCAATCCGGAGTAATGTAGCGAGGAGTAACATATCGAAGCGATCCCCCGAAAGAACATTCGTGCGAGAGCGATCTACCCACCTTGCTCCATTTTGAAGTTTGCTAAAACACGTGCAATTCAAACGCCGAATGCCACGAAGCGTACGAGAACTCCGTGAAGACAACGTGGAGCGGTAAAATGCCAGCATCTACGACGCAGCATAACCTCCCCTGGTGTGCATGCGTACGTGCGTGCACTGTTTAATTACGTCACGTGTAACCAATCGCAGTCGAGAAAAGTAGCGTTTTCACAAAATTTTCATTGGGTGATTCCAGTATAATCCTTCACCGAATGGCCACTGCAGTCGAGTGTGATTGGGTCTTACTTTCAGATCCAACCAATCACATTGATGAATTGATTTCATGCTTGTATCGAAATGTATCGAGGAAAAGAATCGCTTGGTCTCTCGAATCTCGAGTAATATCGCGAGAAGAATATATCGAAGAGTACGTTTAAATTTATTTCGATATAAATGTATTTTGATGTTGACATTGAAGTAATTAGATGTTACAGATTTTTTCATCGCCTCCATTATACTCTGATATAAATAATGTTTGCTATTCATCATCATTGCAATAAAAAGACGATGGCGATATTGGCGATTACCCGCTGTGACGTCACGAATCAGCTGAATATCAGGGTCAGTATGCCACTGATCGTGCGCACGTGCGCACGACGCATGCAGGAGATTGACAGAAAGGGGATGCCGAAAATAAGGGTTGACAAGAGACTGACGGAAACAAAGGATAATGCGGAATAAGATGCATCCCTACTGGAATTTCTGCCGCAGGCGGGACACGAGAAAGTATATACTTTCACACTACAGTCGAGTTCGTTTCGTTTGTCTTAACGCGCGTCAGATGAATTAAGATATCTAAACGTTTGTTAATCCAACAGTTTCCGACTAACAGTACAAACCGTCATGGGTGAGCGAAACGTCAGAATGTTAATTTGCCTTCTTTCCAACACGGCGATCGTGCGTCCTCGTAAAAACCTTTTACCCGACTCCACCGTCGCGATAGTTTATTAATACTAGATGTAAAGAGTAGGCTGAGTTATTTTGGGCCTGCGTCCGCTGCCGCTTGCCGCTGCTTGACCTCGGATACCCGGCATCGACTCCCAACAATCTCGATGTTGACAGTCACCCCCTGGCTCCGGTCGCGTCTCGGAGCCGCTCTAATTTTTTGCTTTTCAAACATGGATCTTGATCCCGTAGATATGGCGATGGAGGTCAGGAACAAGCGCATTCTGCACTGGAGCTGCCGGGGTCTCACAGAGCTCCCAGAGGTGATAAGACTGCACGGTGGTCACGTCAAGGAGATATATCTCAAGTGGAACGAGCTCACCACTCTGCCTCCCTGGATCGCCGAGCTGTACAACATGACCAACTTGTACTTGTACAATAATCGGATTGAACAGTTGCCGGTGGAACTCGGCGATATGAGCCAGTTAACGGTGTTGGACTTAAGTACCAACAGATTGCAGCTGGTACCTGCCTGCATCGGCAATCTGAAGAATCTGAGATACTTATCCCTTGACAACAACCTCATAGACAGATTATCGGTTGGTAAGTTTACCGAGATCACCAGACTGTTGTAGAAAAAAAGGATTTATTGATTTACATGAATAAAACAAAAACAGAATTAAGTCAACTGAATAATCTGGAAGTACTGTCCATCTCGGGTAACCAGATTGTCACCCTACCAGAATGGATCGGCTCCTTCCCAAAACTTCGAGAACTATACGTGGATGGCAATCGATTGAGGGAATTACCCAACAGATTAACTATAGCTCCTAATCTTACCCTGATCTCTGCGTGTGAAAACAGGTTGTTATTTGCATTAACATTCTGCGAAACAAGTATTCCGTCTATTAGATCGAATTGTAAACTTCGCACAAATTAATTAAACTATTTCTGAGTTCTGTATCCCAATAACTGCTTTTCTAGGTTGACATATTTGCCATTGAATGGATTTCTATCGGCTCCCTATATTCGAGTCGAAGGAAATGAATACTTAAATTATATATCGTATCCGCTTCTACAACAATTATACCCCCATTTAAGGCACTCTCTTATCTTTTATAAAGACGCCTGTAAAGACGTGACATCCAGGTAAGCTCGTTACAGATGTCAACTAGGAATAAATTATGCGCGAATGGAAATAAATCCTGAACAACTGTTACTTTACTTTTGAAGTATATATGTATATACTTCATATATATATATACACGATATAAAGTAAATTTATAATCTATGTGTATATGTATATATAATCACAGATATTTTAAGACGCATTATGACACAAATGGATTAAGCATAAAATTGCACATAAAAACGAAAGATTTTTTCCCAATAAACTACGATGCTACAATCGAATTACCACGGCAGCTGCTAAAGGTTCACGAGGTTCACGAGAATGTGACTTGCTCCCTGTTGGAATTAGCGCTGAGAAAAGTTTATACCGAGAGGTAATTCAGAGGAACCTTACAAATAGGAATCTCGTCATTGACTTTTTGCAAAAATATAAATATCTTGCAAATTTAACGCAAGAACATTTCAGGTATAAGCACACGCTCGACATTCCCGTTTTATCCGAAAAAGGGAAAGTAACGGTATTCTACGAACAGCTTCATAAAAATACCAAACTGGACTTTATATTGTCCACGAATAATATTTTGTATAGTTTATTAACGAACGGACCCACTAGTATCTGCGTAAATTCTCAATGTCAGCAACCGATATTCACAGAGGCGTGGATCATCATCGATATGTGTAATCCCACCGTATGGCGCACAATAACGATCGCTCTATGTTGTAGCAGAAGGTATAACGTACAAAATAATCGTGTAGTAGGTACCTGAATACATCAGTTTTCATATCGGTTTTCTTTGAATTTGCAGTTGCGCCATTGCGTTCGCACACTCGAATGCGACTAACAATCCTGATTGCCACTGCGTCAATTGATGAACCCTCCTTGTTAGGTATCTAATTAATTTGTAAATAAAAGAGTATTAGAGAATAAAGAATTCTTGCGCGTTTAACCGAAATCTTGTGATAGTAGTTTGTAAATTAAACCTCTAGCTTGTTGTAATTGTAATTTATTTCGCAGCGTCGCGGCTACCAATAGCGGCTGTTCAATAATGCCCAGTAGGAATTCAACGAACAAATCCCATGACATAACGGCGGATTATCGAGTTAAATTATTACATGTAGTTTCTTTGAGGTATCATTATTCAAGACTAGTCTCACTAATAACATCTTTTTTTTTTTTATTAAAATATACGTTTGTGATTATGACTCGATGTACCTTTCATGCGACATATAAAAATTCAAGTTCTCTATTTTGCTATATTTTCGCATTGAAATTGAGTCGCAAAAAAAAAAAAAATAATTTCTATAGTCTCTCACTTCGTGGCTGGTGACTCAAATCGTCCACTCAAGCGATCAGAAGATCCAACGCTTTGTCACGATCAAAATTACACTTTACTAATGCCGCGAAAGCTTCGTCCTCGGGAAATCCTAGATCCTTCAACGTGCACAAATTTTCGCAGTAGGTCCTCGCCTTGGATTGATCGTGCTGCGCGAGCGTCAGCGCTTTCTCGGCATAATCACTCGGGACGCCAATCTCCTCCAAGGATTGAACGGCCAACAGGTATTCCACGATCTTCTTCTCGTTCGCTCGGCCTATTTCCAATACCGCGCGTGCCGCTCTGCACTTGGGAAATCCCATATCGTCCAGTTGCATGACTAATTTTAGATCACTCTCCGTCATGCCCGATAACAAATCCGCCGACGGTTTCTCGTGATTCGACGTCGAGTCGTTGTGCCTCGTGGTAACATGCGCGTCGTTGTCCGGACTCTCCAAATCGGGCCACGGCTTCCAATTCTATCGCAAAGAAAAACTGATCGAATCAATCATATTATGCGATAAAGGAAAAAAAAAGAGGATTTCGTTACCTCCATAACAGGCCGTTCCAATTCCTTTTGAAGTTCCTGCATTATTGCCGAAACGCTACGGTGATTTTCGTTGCTATGCGCGTCCGCGTCGGCTTCGTCGTCCGCCGGACTCTCCGTATCGGGTTTCTCCTCCTTACAAACCTCGGACTTGTCATCGACTCTTAATTCATTTATAATATTCTCCAGTTTTCCCGCGGGTACCCATTGCAATCTAGGTTGTAAAACCTGCGATCAAAAAGTATCAAGTAAGATAAATTCGATCGTCCGCCGAGCAGTCGTTTGCGGTACTTGTTCGAATAAGCTAGAGCGTAACCAAGCGTTTCATTAACCTGCGCTAATTCCTCCATGTCATTGATGGTTTTTAATTCCATATTGTCGAAGGGGCTGCTCGTGTCGTTGTCGAAGTCGGCGAAGTCCAGACCCCCGTTCGTCTTTACGTGGAGATCCCGAAGGTCGTTCGCCGGGGGTGACAGCGGCTGCGGGGTGAGTATTGTTTCCGATGCGGGTGGCGCATTGATAGGTTGCTTCGCGCAATCCAGCGGCGGAGGTGACGGAGGAGTCTCCTCTTCCTCCTTCTTCCTCTTCTCCTTCAGTCGAGCCTGACGCGCCTTGCTGCAGGCCTGTCTAGCCTTGCGCCACTCGCACATCTGATCACAAATCAATTAATCAGGGCTAATCAGGTCAGGGACAAGTTCGCTTGGAAACTGTCAAGTCATGGGACCATCCGTGTACATTGCATAGATTATTAAAGTATCGAAAAACGATGACTCCCTACCTTCTCGAGTACCGATCTCTCCAAGCTGAAGTCGTACACCAGCTTCGACACATCGGGCAATCGGTTGTTGTACGGCGCGGGTAGGCCAATCTTCCTCGGTGGTTTGTAGGCCTCCGCGATCTTGACGTGGACCCCGTCCATGTAAGACGCGACCAGGTCGCATTGCGCCGATACGGAGGGCCGTGCCATCGGCCCCCACAACGTCAGGGCGAACGTGAGGGAGTGACGCGCGACCCGCAGCGGAGATCGTCGCTCTACTCGCCGATGCTCGGGTCATAACCTAATCTCCGTCGCGATAAATCTCGTTTAATTGCGCGTGTCGCACGCCACCGACACATCTCGAGCGTATAATTACGACATAATTGAATGACGGATTTTCTTTTTTCTCTCTCTCTCTTTCTCACTTTTGTTGTAGCTTGACAATCGTGAAATATCCCTCTAACGGTCGAGATGGCGAGAAAACACTTCCATTTGACACTTGACAGATCAGATTCTCGCCCTGGCGACAGAATATCAGTTGCCAGCAATAATAACAAAAAAGGAAGAAGTCTGTTGTGAGTTAGAGAGGTTTATCGATATTTGGTATTAAAAAAATCTTTATTTGACCTTCTATATTCTTTTTCTATTCGAAATTTCGTATCAATTAATATAAAATAGAAAAAAAGTACTATTGACTTTTTTCGATATTTTTTTTTTATTTTATATTGATACGAAATTTTAAATAAAAAAGGAATAGAAGGTCAAATAAAGATTTTTTAATATAATAAATAAAAAAAATTTTTAATCAACGATTTTATCGAAGACAGCCAGCTGTGGTTAAATTTTCGTGATTATCAAGTGCAGCTCAGTAGGTCTGAGATTAATTGAAGTGTAAGGACATTATCGATTGTTGATGAACATTTTTTGACTGTCGGTAAAACGCTTTATGCGCATAGATGGCGCGCGCTTTATAATCGGGAGTGCCGAACAGTATCGCGCGAAAGAGAATTTTATTGATAATTAGTCCGCGGGCGATTGTGAATTTATTATCCGCGAGTGTTTCTCGCGAGTGTCCTGTGCGGTGAGAAGAGAAGGAGGAGAGCCTGACGTCCTGAGAGGAGGAGGAGGTCCGAGAGAGACATCGGGCACCGGCGGAGCAACCTTGGGGTAAGTAATATAACCTCTGCTTAGCTACATAAAATTAATAATTTGTTTCTATTTATTCGAATTGTTACATTTTGATAAGTTAAAAGTAATTAAAGACAGAGAAAAATTATCTAAGATTATATTCTTGTAAAGGTCTTTTTCGGTAAACAAATAATTGTATTGCTAAATATTTTATTTAAAGATATGACTTATAGGCTGGATTCGGGGAGCGCGCTATTAGCGCTATTTGCTTATTCTATCCTTGTGTTACTTCTGATGAGCGATAAAGACAGAATGATTTAATAGCGCTAATAACGCGCTCCCCGAACGCAACCTAGAGGCCAATATAATGAATTAAGAATTATCTTTTGAAATGTTGATTATTTTGAGCGCTTCTTTAATTTAAATCTTATGTTTGTATGTTACAGAGTATCATCGTAGCTATGCGGCTGATAACTCCGCCCGTTGCGCATCGGTCGGTGAGTGACGAATTTTTTTTTATAATGGGGTAACGAATCTGTGTGAATATGTTAGATTGTACATTTATGTATTATTCCCATCTAATAATGCAGATAAATGCGACTTGTCACAGATCCGTTGCCCTCTGAAATGGATAGACTATAAATCAGACTAGGTTAAATAATTAATCCTGGAACTCTATCATTTATCAATTTATTGTGCTTATGCGAGAATGCTCTCGCGTTAGCACATGTCGAGTTCACAACAGAGCTCGTTATGTCGATGCATCGTTTATTTGATGCAGCGTCTAATGTTTATCGCATAGTACACTAACCGCCAAGTGTATAATACCCCATAGGTGATTTATTGGAATTTTGAAATATATGTATATTTTATTGTCAAGTATCTATATTTGTTATCAATTAACTAAATTTATTAAATTAATTACATTTTTAAATTTGTTTTTAAAATAATTTTGAAAAATAGACATATAGAAAGAGATAAAGAATAAAAATAAAATTTTACAAGAAATAGAATATTTTTTTTATATGAGCTGTCTCATGTCACTTGAGTTTTCCCTTGACGTTTATTTTTCGGGGAAATAAAGTTTTAAAAATATTTCTAGATATTTTTTAGATATACCTACAATAATAATAATAATTTTCTACAGATAGGCAATAGATAGAGATAGCTTACGTGTAATTCAAGAAATAAAAATTAATAAGAGAAATATCTGTGAATAAAGAATAGATAGATTCAATAAAATAAAATAAATCAAACTATTACATATAAAAAAAGTTATTGTTACAACAATTTGTATTTTTTCACAAATTATTTTTTTCCTTTTTTTCTCTTTTTCTTTCCTCCAGGATTAAATATTACAAAAATTGGTGCAAGAAAGCAAAATGTATAAACAAATTTAACATGGATGTATCACGGATGATCGAGTGAAAAAGATCAAAAGATATTTTAGTTCACGTTTCACATATTCTTCTGAAGAATCTTATTATATATAAATTAACAATCACATTAATGATTGTTAAAAAATTGCATATTTATTTTTATTTATATATACATATATATAACGCGCTAATTTTATCCTAATCTTTTATAGTCTATCTATCTAATAGCTTGAGTTATTTGCATCAATAAATGAAATAAAATGACATGAGATTCAATAAATATTCCGTCGCGGGACAGAATAATTTCTTTATATAGAAATGTCTCAAAACTGATAGTTTTTATATCAATTATACTAAAATGCATAATATAATGTGAAATGACACATATTTCATATATCGTATTAAATGTAATTTTAATAACATTTTGCAATAAAATAACGAGATGTTTATATGAATATACATGATACCTATATGTGAAAATTTATAAAGACAAATGTCACATGCGCGAGAATACGATAAATTCATTATATTGATTATTGCTTGATACTTTTTGCGTGGATATATTGCTTCGGAAATTATCGTCCCTTTTGGATCTCACGTCATTCATTCTCGCGGTTCGGTCCGCGGTTCGCGATTTGGATTGTACTAAAATTTTTTTGTCTATGTATTAATTTATTGATCGAGTGATCAGTTAATTTTTAAATTTCGGTTGTTTTATGTTTTTACATTATAGTATTTAAATTTATATATTCGCGCTCGAGATTAAACGCGACGATTTTGATTAGAGAGAATGCGGTTTATAGTTTATATAAAAAAATAACAAAAAGGGAGAAGTCTGAGTTAGAGAGGTTTATCGATATTCGGTATTAAAAAAATCTTTATTTGACCTTCTATTCTTTTTCTATTCGAAATTTCGTATCAATATAAAATAGAAAAGAAAGTATTATCGACTTTTTTCGATAATACTTATTTTCTATTTTATATTGATATACGAAATTTCAAATAAAAAAGAATAGAAGGTCAAATAAAGACTTTTTAATAATAAATCAAAAAAATTTAAATCAACGATTTTATTGAAGATAGCCAGCTGTAGATAAATTTTCGTGATTATCAAGTGCAACTCAGTGAGTCTGAGATTAATTGAAGTGTATAAGGACATTATCGATTGTTGACGAACATTTTTTGACTGTCAGTAAAACGCTTTACATGCGCATAAAAGACGATAACGCGAACTTGAATACTGAACATTTAGAATAACAATACGTGTGCATGTATATACATATATCTTTGTATTATAAATATTTTTTTATATTACATTTGTACTTATTCTAGTTAAATGTTTAGAATAAAGCGCATTCATAGATCTTGTTTAATGCACTATTTTTAAACTATATTTTTCGAAACTATTCTAAAACGTAAAATATAATAAGAGAGTTGAAAATAATCCTTTTATTTCGAAAGTTTTTTTATTTCCAAAATTTGTAACATACGTGTTTTATTTATTTCCATGGTAATATTATTAGGTTTTACATTAAATCTCGAGAATATAAATTATTATTATTATTATTAAGATATTTATATTTGATATAACACTAGAGATGTAAGAATTTCGTTGCTTTCCGTTTATGAACGGAACAATCGTTTTTTTTATTTAAAAAATAGACAAACGCACGGAATACTATCAATTAGCTCTGTGATAATGATTATACGTTACTATGATTATACTGTAAAATATTATTTTCTATATTATATTAATTTAATTGTTAATTATCATTACACTACGTATTCCTAAACCATATATATATAAATAGACATATTAACACTTAACTAAAAAATGATAAATATTAACGCAATTGTGATTTAAACCAGTCAAAAAATAAATGGATAGTTCAATCGATGGTTTTTGTCAGTCGTTTTACGGAGACGATTTCAAGCATTTGACGCATGCTCGTGACTTCATCGCCACAGTCCGTCATAGTATTTTGAATATGTAGTGAACAGCTGATAATAGGCACGAGCACTATCTTTTGACATTGTATTTGCATATTGTATTGATTGTGGCTCGATTATTTTTGATACATTATGCATTAATATCAATCTCCCACTCTTCATGTCGATTTTCTCTGTCTTATACCATAATACCGCACATATAACACGGACATAACTGGTAACTAACATAATAAGGTCTGGATACCGAATAGCAAAGAGTACCTATATCCCTTATATCCAACGAGATTACCCGGATTTGACGGGAAAATAAGATAGGATTTGTACATGCATATTCCTGATGAATTTTTTAAGTATTCTCAGTACTGTGAGTCGGGGGGTATTCTAATACTTACTAGATAGTAATACTTATTTAGAACGGTGGATGTCGTTAATTCTTCCCAGAAATTCTTCATGTATTTATTTTTCTGTATGTATTCCTTAAAACGAAGTCTCTATGAATTTCTATTCAGTGTTATCTGGGGTACTATAGTGAACAGCTGATAAAAGGCACTATCTTTTGACATTGTATTTGCATAATGTATTGATATATGTGGTTCGATTATTTTTGTAACATTGTGTGATATGCATTGTCAGTCTCCCATTCTTTATATCGATTTTATGCTTATTTATAAGACAAAACTAGCTGGTCGTCAAAAAATACGATCGTGCCTCGCGTCAGGTATGCACGCCGCCGCGCCGTCAGCAGAAAAGCAAACCGATTAATGGTTTTTACGGGAAACCACTCTACGTTAGTACTGTTCGAGCTGTCGAGGCAACAAACTCTCCTAGATTAACAATCCAAATTTTATCATTAATTTACACGAATCGCATATTCGAAGAAAATGTCCCACGACTCCCACGTCGAAGATTCTCAGAGATGGATCGACCAGGTGATGGCGAGGATTATCGAGAATCTTGGATTGGACGTTGACAAAGCTCGATACGAAATCTCCAAATCTATCAACTTTCTAGTGACAACCATATATTACGTACGCCTGCAGTTTAAGAATAAAGAAAACGATCAGAACGAGGAATTGTCTATGGTGCTAAAGAGACCCACGAAGAACTTCATCCACATAGGTCGCATCGATTTTCAATTTGAAAACGAGATTCTGTTCTATCAAACGTACGTCCAACCGAACGAGAGGCATTTTTACGCAAGATGTTACTACGCCGAAAAACGGTCGCCCACCGATTTCGTGATCGCCCTGGAGAACGTTAACGAACGAGGATATCATTCTTGCTCGTACCCACACAACGCTCCTTTCGAGTACACGTTGGCAGCGATGCGCGAGTTAGGACGATTTCACGGTAAAGGGTACGTCATGAAGGAACTGCAGCGGGAAAAGTTCTTCGATGTCGTGGCGCGACTGCAAGAGCCTAGATACGCGAAAGGATACGTGATGGAAGCTTGTTTCAATGTTACGGCGACGCGATCGCTGGAATATCTCCGCAGACAAGGCTACGATGCAGCTTTCTGCGACAGGATGGAAGCCATCCTTACGAACGCGTTTGACGAAGTGATGATGAAGATAATCAAGCCGCTTGAACCTCTGGCCACGATGTGCCACGGCGACTTTCTATTGAACAACATTCTCTTCAAGGCGGATGAGGGTGGACGATATCGCGCGATGCTGATCGATTTCGCGCTTATTAGATATTCGACGCCCGTCGTCGATCTCTCCACGTATTTCTACAACTGTTGCTGGAATGAAGAGATACGAGAGAAATTTTTCGACATCATGCGGGCTTATCACGACGCGCTGATGGAGTATTTGCTGGACGCTGGCGTTCAAGACATTGAGAAATATTCATATAACGCTCTGTTGGACGATTTTAGGAGGGGCGCTCTCTTCGGTTTTATTGTCGTATCCCAATTTTTACCGGCAATATTGGGATATCTCAAACTAGAAGCGATAGTACAAGACACAATTAGTCTAGGCGCGTTGGGATATGCAAAGAAGCATAAATATGACGGCGGAGACGAAGTATGTAAAATACTTGCTGATATATTGCTGCATCTGAGAGATCTTGGCTGCTTGAAACATATTTTATAATGTGAGATAATTTACATAAAATGCATATAAGATACAAATTATATCGATTAGTAACTATGAAGTATATATGGCGAAAGATTTTCAAGTGATCAGGTGATCAGGTAATATAGATTCGTAATTATATTAAAGGCAAAAGATTTATTTTATAAATATTGTTGTCTTTCTCTCGTTGTCATTTCTATACGAGAAATATTAGTTACATTATAATACAAAGACCGAGTTGCAAGTGTAATTAGAGGCGAAATATATTGAATCACGTTCGACTTTAAGGTGTCTTGTGCGATATATTACGGATAAAATTGTATATCATAGTTAAAAACTTCGATATCGCAATAATATTCAATTCAAAGGAAGTAATACAAACGCGTATAACTAACAAAAACATAAATAATAAATAAACATATCTTATTTTAATAATAATTAAAATTCAGATGAAAATATCTTGAAACATAGTATGTATATTTTTTCAAAAAATATATTTATAATGTATAAATTATAATCGTCAAATCATAGCTATTTGATTTCAGAAATTTACTATGAGGAATTAAAACAATTAGTCCAAGGTGTATTTTATAATTGTCAATTTTATATTAAATTTAGTATATTCAGCTACAAAGTAAAAATGTAAAAATTATAAAGCACATACGTAATTTACTACTAACCAAATGGCAGTAAAATATATTTTATATATGTCACAAAAAATAAAAATTATATTAATCACCGAAATCATACTAAAACATATTAATACAAACGATATATACTTGATCTGAAATATATTATTTCGATATTTTAACGCTAATAGATTATGTATTAATTTAGATTCGTACGGTACAAGTAGTTTGAGCTAACTATAGTACATACATAAATATAAAGCATACATGGAGAAAAATAAATTTAATAAAAATCCGATAAATATGAAATCTGTTATTATAAAATATATACCTTGTCAAGTTGTGCCCTTTAGTATAAAGGTTGGAAATAAAACCTTTCAATATTGCGATTGTAACATGAGAGATCTATAAAAGTGATACAAAATATTCATACTTGATACTTTATATATTCAAAAAAATTAATTATATAATGTAGACGAAAATATATGCAATAAATAAAATGATGAAAATGGGGATTGTAAATAATATTAAACTTTGAAGAATGAACAGAAATTTTCATTCTATACAGTAATAAATACTGTTTAAATAAAGTTTTCAGCACAATGCGACGTCATTATTTTATGTCTTTTATTCAAAGTCTAGCAACGATTATAATTATAATTATAATTAAAATTTAAATACATTATTAGCAAATAATATTATTACATAATGTCTACAAAGTATTATAAATTTAATTTAAAAAATTCATCCGCATGAGCTCTATATCAAATGTAATAAAACTAAAGTGCGTTTATAAAAGATATTTTACGAAGGATATCAAACAGCATCAAATCTAATACTCTATAAATTATTTTTTAATTACAGAACAGTAATATGTCATATTATAACAGTATAACAATATAATATGACATATAAATATATTTAATTACAGAACAGCATTGTCACAGAAAATTTTATCAATAGCTTCCAGACTATTAATAAAATACTAAGTATTATAAAAATATTAGAAATAATTAAAAATGATTAAAAAATTATTTAAAAAGTAGTAATAATAAATAAAAATAGTATTGTTTGAAAAATTATGCAGATAGGTCTTGATCCATCGTGATTGTAACAGACGCAACGTCTTGATTGATCAACCCACTATTGACGTCTTCTTCATCATAATCTAATTTTTGTAATTGATCAATTAAAGTTTGACTTTTTCCAAATCGTTGTGTAAAAATATCTACGGACTCTTTAAGTATATTTCTACGCTTTTTTATCATAAATGTAACTCGTGCCAAAGCGTCTCGATCTTGATGGAAATATTTTCCCGCAAATGTGTTCACCTGAAACAGGTTAGTTGAGGATGTTTATCAATAATAAGTAGTAATTTATTCTTATACAACGATCTTATAAAGTATAATTTTTCATTTGACATAACACTAATAGTGCATGGTATGCATATAAATACATTTAATCCCTTAACTGTGGAAGTATATATATAAAATTGTCTTCTGTTTGCAGAAAATATATACATTAACATCCACGAAAATCTATTATTAATTAAAGAAGGCATACATCACACATATACTTATATGTACATGTATATTAATATTCAGTACTCAATTATTATCAATTCACAACACAGTAATATTCTTAGGTTTAATTACCATATTATAAAAATTTAGTTCTAAACCACGCGCTAGTATTTCTCAATTTCAAACACAGCTTTATAAGATACAAATATATAGCCCAAAAATATGAACAAAATAAATTATATATATATTAATTTAATTATGTAAAGTTGCATTAATCTGTAATTCCAAACACGATGAACGTTTGATTTTAAGCGCGCTACAGTTAAAGGATTATCAATAGAAAAATATAAGTATGAATTCTAGAATCATAAAATCTACCATGGACAATTGTTCGTTAGAATAAACATTTTGATATACAGTAAATAACGTTTGTGTTGCAGGAAGTAATCTGTAAGAACAAAATAATATATTTATATAATTAATGTATAAGATAAATTTATTTAAAAAGAATAGAATATATATTTGTAAAGAGATATGTATTACCTGGGTTTTATAATATCAAAATTTGCTAATATGTAGTCAAGGACCAAATCGTTGCGTGCATGTTTTTCAAGAATTAAATTGAAGATAAATACATGGTCCAGATCCTTAAATAATTTAGTATTTGATGCTGTAATATACAAATAGTTGATAATGATATCAGGATCTTCAGCACAATTCAAGTTTTTCAAAAGATCGTCATTAGGTGATGTTAGCACATATCGTTCCATCATTTTATCCCAAGTAGTCTTATTAGCTACCGCCAAACCAAAGCAGTACGTCCAATCTTGCCACCAGTATGGAATCCTAAAATACATATGTGTGTATGGAAAAGAGGTACATGCATTTCATACGCATATAGCCGACGTTTTATTTTATCAAGTGTTTTGTATTTTTTTCCGTTCTGTTAGATAAATCTTATTTTGCAAAATTAAGTGTTTGTCGTGCGCTGTTCTGTCACTCTATATTTGCCACGTGACCATAAGACTAATACGTGTGAACACAGTGAATGAATAAATAAATGAAAGATGAATCCATCGATAACGTCTCTTGTTATTATATACGATACAATATTTTTACTTGTTTCGCATATTTATTTTATGTATTAAAACAAGAATAAAAATTAAGAAAAAACAATAAAGAGACTGTCTGATTTCGACGACTCGAAGAAATAAAAGGAATCGATTACATCCATATGCATACGTGCGCGCGCATACGCAACACACACGCACAAATATAAAATATAAGATAATCATGACCACACACACACACACATAAAACGAGTTACTTGTGATTATCAGGATCCGCCAAATGTTCGCTTAATTTAACGGCGGCGTTTTTTTTGCATTCCGCGTGACCGACGGTACATGCCCATTTCGTGGCCTCTAGCCTTAGTAACTTAGTGAGATCGTCATCATCAGGATTTTCTTCGTATCCCAAATGTTGAAGAACCCCATTAAAGTTTTGTACCATGTATAACTAGAAATCATGAGATAATATTGAATTTTATATTAGTTTGTTGGGGTACATGCGAAGTTACGTGATTCATATATACAATGTATGTATATATATATATATATATATATATATATATATATATATATTGTTAGTAATTGTTGCCTTAATTGTTAAAACATTCACTAGAATTCACAAGGATTATTGGTGAGCTTGCGCCTAAGTTTCCCTAACGTCCATTCGTATTAATGTTAATTAAAACGTTTTCTATGATTGTGCGATTATAAAACCGACCGCGACAGACTTTATGACAAAGCGGTGAATGTGTAAATGCAGAACTGGCCAAATTAAAGAGCCAAATATTTTTTTCATCTTTATAAAATCTGTTATTACATACCTTGAAACCTTTACTCTCTGGCAGTGAAAAGTACTTCTCATTCCGTTCTAATATTCGGAACATTGGACGCCATGCCACATAATCTCTCTCAAATGTGTAGTAAGCAATAAGATAATTGAATATGGAGCTTTCTAGTTGGTCTTCGAGCAAAAAAGCATATGCATCATCGATAATTTGAGCACGATTAAGAACGTGTATTTTCGTGTGATCTTGAGAGCCCAAGAAAGGTATGATTTTTTCGTAAATTCCGGTATCGTAATAGACACGACAGTATGCTGTAGAATTATCCATTAAATTTATTATTAGATCTTTTTGTTTGAAATTATCAAGGTATATTTTCAAATACCGACATTTTGATTAGTGTAATAAATAAATTTTATGTAATTTGCACCTTACAATTGTTACAAAAAAATGTACATTACCAATGTACTTCACCAATGAATTATCAATGTAATTCACCAATGTATCGAAGAATATTATAATTATATAAATTTTGAAGCTTCTTTTTGATAAAAAGATATATTAAGAAATGAATATATTGTAAAACTTTTGTGTTGATGAAGCAAATAAGATAGATATAAAAGGGCGTAAAATTTATTGATTTATACCAGTTTGTTGTAGATTGACGATAATCCAACCAAGAGTATTAATTGGTATTCTAAGAGTTTCGTCTGGCTCTAACCAAAAAATGGGCATAGTATTGGAAAAATTCAGACGGCTCTGGTCAGTGTAGGTTATGGGTATCCACCATTTATTATTGGTACCTTCAGTTGCGTGGAAACATTTTTGTGTTATTATTAGTTCACCTGCATTTTTGTAATTACTAGTGTGGTAATTCATCGTTACATTCAGCACAGGATAACGATTTTGGACTATCCACATATCCATCACTTCTTTTATTCTGATATTCATATAATATCGATATCTAGGGGGGTAAGAAGGTTCGTCTTCAGCACTTTGTATGGCCCTCCAGAAATCATCGGGAGTGACCGCCGAATATTGCCTAAATTTGAAATATGACATTGTCATTAGCTTATAACACATACGTCGTATGTATTTATTTACTATTACAAAATCAAACGTGAGCATTAATGTACAATTTAATTAATACATATGTAGAAACTAAGAATATGATTTAATACTAGCTTATCGTTAGTCAAATTATAATTAAGGAATAAAGTATGGTCTCTTCTAATCAAATAGCATTGGATATTGAACGCACAAGTTTATGTCTCTGATGTGACGTTTTATATTTTCCAACGTAAACGCAAGAAACATTATACTTATGATATTTAATGTTGCGATATGTAATAACTATAATAGACTACATTGTACATACATACTTACTTTGTAGCGAAATACTTGGTGATACCCTTTCGAAATACCTCGTCGCCCACTGCATGATGTAACATGCGCAATATAGCTGGAGCTACGATACACAGCATAAAATACTGATTAATAATACGTATAAAGTATATTTTATATACTTTTATACATAAAATAAGGCATATGTGAACGTATTGCGCAAAACGAGAATTTGTTGTTTATTCACTTTCTGTTCCACCTCTGTCTTCGTGCTATTCTACATTAAGCTAATCATGGACGATAGTTTCATTTTATTTACATAATTGTACCTTTTTCACGAACTTGATCAACAAAGAGTTGGTTATCCAAGGTATCGTCATTATAAAGATTCAATGTAACAGAACCCAATAAGCCATCATCTAGATGGAGAGCATGGTGCATGGCTCCAGTAACGAATAAGTCCATTGACCGCGAATCTTTAAATCCAATTTGCAACTATAACAGAAAAAAATCCTTTGATATGGCTGAATATAAAAATTCGAAGAAAAGTTCGCATTTATAGGGATACAAACCTACATGTACGCCACTTTTAATAACTTTGCTATTTTAAATTTTATTGTAATTTATTTATGTCAAATGTTAACCGTTTCACGTATATAATTTTTTTTTAGAAGATCATACTTTAATTATTTTTTAAGGTAATGTACATTACTGAATACAAAGATAAAATCAAGATATAAAAATTCTAGAAGTTAAATTTTTTTTGTTAAATATTTATTGTTATGGATGCGAAAAATAAAATACGTTTAAATTCTAATAAAACTATTACAATAATAATCATTGTATCGTCAAATATGAAAATTATGTTGAAACATAAGAGATTAAAAATAGTAAATTTTTAATATGAGCTTGGGAGGAGACAAGTACTGAGAACATAATATTCTCGAATTTTAATAGAAATTAGTATTAAATGTTTCGCTCTAGTTATTCGCGGAAAGAACAGCGTTACAATCTTTTTTATAATTCTAAATTAAAGAATTGCCATTAGTTATTTAGCTTTGTCTGATACATTTTATAAGAATATAGAAATATTTAATGGATGTTATTTTGATTTTAGAGACTGAAGTGCATTTCCAACTTTTCTATTTAACGAGCAATTCATTGCATTAGTAATATTAAACAACCTTGTCGAGGAAATACGCCTGGAAATACACAGCAAATCCCTCATTTAACCACATGTCAGTCCACCATAATGGGGTGATGAAATTGCCGAACCACTGATGTGCTATTTCATATGCTACTAACGACGCCACTTCTTTTCTCCAAAATGTGGGATCTCTGCTTTCATCGTAGACAACTTTTGATTCGCTAAAAGGCAAAACATAATATAATATTCAAAATGTGATTATGCCTAGTTTTTTTTCATCGTTAGCATGCAGTCTAATGTGTAATTATATATATATATATCATTGAAAGAAAGGGTGACATTCACATCAATTAAATACGTTAATTTGTTTTAAAACAGCCTAAAAATGGAAATATATAAATGAAATTTAAATATCCATAGAATACACATGCGTTTTTTATCGTTTTTAATTATGAAAATTTGAATGCTAGAAGTTATTCGTCAGTTCTAATAGCTTCATATTAATTTCTTTTATTCATGTACATATTAATAAATCTCTTTGGTTATCAATATTACAGGTAAATGATGATTCCCCAATTTCCCATCGAGGCGTTGGTATAATCTGGTATCATGACGTGATCTATTTTCGGTACCCCTTT